TTCTTGAGTTGGGCACTAATGTGTTTATGCAGTATCTGGTGGTGTATATCACAATTGATAAAGGCAGAGTAGAATTCTCCTGATGCAGTTAGATTTCTATTTAGTTAGTACTGTTGTACTGTTTTGTAATTTCACAAATTAAAGCTTTTTTTTTTTTTAATCCTTCTATATTATCTTCTTCAGGGAAGAGAACTTGATTCCATATGCTCCAGAACTACCAATCCGATCAGAGTGGTATATCAACTACAATCAGTCTGTTTCTAGAGTGCGGGGAATTTATACAGCTCCTTCTGGTCTGGAGTCCACATGCTTGGTCAGTATGCAATGCAATCCACTATTGGGCACTGCATTTTCATCTTGCAATGCCTTTTATCAAAGGACTTGAATGCCATTCAACCCATTAAGTTATTCCTTTTATATACAGTCAAGTGAAATCGCAATCTAGGGTAGTATAGATAATATGATATTCTTTGAAATAAATTCTCTTCACTTTTTTATAAATTACATCTGTCGTGATCCATAGATGAATAGGATGCTTTATTTTACATTCGTCCAATATTCAAATTCTTTATTTCTCTTGCTTGGCACTTACTACCCTGCTCCAGTTCATTTATGGAATTTAAATGTGAGAGACTACGTTGCTGATGGCTTGGTAGTAATTTACAAAAGATGAAGGAACATTTCCACTGGATATGTTTGACCCCTTCCCTTGTCCTAATTCCCAGAAGAAGCAGTGCTCGGCCAATCTGTGAACTCTAACTTTCTAAAATGTGTTGTCTTTTTGTGGGGTCACTAAACAAGAATCAGCACAGTGCCCTTTTTAGAGTACTACTAACCTGAGAAACATGAGTCAATCAAACTTAAAGAATACGTACAACATTCTTACCAGTTGAGAATCCTACTGGGGCAAGCATCCTATGGCACCAAGTTATTAAAAAAAAATGATTACTGTCATTATACACTGTAGTTATCCCAGGTTGTGTAAGTAATCAAGTCTACTAACAGACACTGTTCGCTCTCCAGTGCCATTTAATATCTTGGCAAGGAGGTGCAGCGGGCCATCAGAACAACCTGCCCCTTGTGCCATGACAATCAGAACCTGTGCTTAACTGCATTGCGGTCTGATCTTCCATATCTCAGATTAGTGTTATACAAAAGCAATTTGTATTTATGATAGGGGCATGTCACAAATTAGCAATGTTGAAATCAATGTGGTGATTTTTCTTTCTGTTGTAGGTTGTTGTCTATGGACTGGACATCTTCCAGACTCGAGTTTACCCATCAAAGCAGTTTGACGTTCTAAAAGATGATTACGACTATGTGCTCATCAGCAGTGTCCTCTTTGGATTGATTTTTACAACCATGATCACGAAGCGCCTTGCCCAAGTGAAGCTCCTGAACCGAGCTTGGCGATAGATACCTTCGGCAATGAAGAAAGTGATGTCTTGGAGAGCGGAACAGAAGTTGGGTACAACTTTAATCAGGGATCCCGATAGAGTTGATGCCCATGTACATACAATGTATATTTTTTGTAACACACTCTCACTACAAGAAGCAGAGTGATGGACACTTTCAGAAGTAGATTTTTTAAAAAAATTGGTTTAATTGCTGTAAAAAATAATTGAACTGTTTCTATTAATCAGAAATTTTTTTGAGATGAAAGGTATTTTTGTTCCTGCAGAGCTTGGAGTTAATAGGGGAGCTGTTGAAAGTGATATGTTATGAATAATAGAAAAGCTGAACTTGAATGTTTCCCAAAACCGTGCTTTAATCTTTTAGCTTTTGTTGTGTTTTGGAACTGGTTGATATTTAACAATAGCACATGGATGTTGCATCCTGCTCAGGTTCCCCTTTGAACATGAATGCTGGAGAGTAGTTTCATGTGTTCAATCATTGGACAGAAGACCTCAGTCTTGTACATAATTTAAGTTGTCCACCATTCTGGTTTGTTTCCTTGGCCATTGTTCCTAACGTTCCTTTGTGTGACAGAGTGTGAAGTATTGTCAAAACGGCTGATCTGTAATTCTGAGGCACTGCCACCAGATGTTGCTTGAATTGCCTTTTTCATCTGGATGGGCACTGGTTCCACACAGTGTATGGAGGTTGTACTACATCCTTTGTCCTTGGGCATTATCTTCGGTTCCAACACTCCTAAGTGGATAGTAAATTGGCAAATTTTATTTTAGTTCCATGATTATGTTGATCTCCTCCCTGTGTAATTAACAATCCCATTTTTGCGGTGTTGCATGTTGATGGTATTCATGAGGAGTGGTTGATAGATGATTGCTGAACGAGTATTTACATTAATTTCAAATAGTTGCTGTTAACTGTTTTGATTGAAATTTTGAAGTTTGCCTGTGAGGGAGTTGTGGGGTGTGGGTGCATGTATCTTGAGTGTCAACTGACAAATGTCTTGAAATACAAAAAATACAGAAAAATTTAACAGTTGCAACTTGCAAGTGTACCCTAGGAATAGAGGATTTTGATTGTTGATTATTTTAAGTTATGGATATTTAGTATTTAACTCCTGAAAACCTTGACTGGATTTTAGAGCCAACTTAAAATGTGCAATGGATGAGTGAGTGAACAGGATTAATGCCTGGTGTGTGAATATCTGAGATTCTAATTATGTGCCCAAGTTTCAGCATTGTTTTGCAGGAAACAGGGTCAGAATGACAGTGATCTTTTGATTAGTTACATGTCTTCTTTCCTGTTCCTGTAATTCTATTGAAGTCGCATCAAAAACATTGATACTTGAAACTGATACATGAAAATTTGTTAAATAGTAAATATTAATTTGTTTTATGAGTTGTTTTTGAAACCACTGAATAAAATGTTACTGTAACATGGAAATTGTGTTTTTTTGAGCTTCGGATGGCAATTGCAACAGTTTCATGAGTATTATGCTCTGTTAATATATGGACAACAACTAAATCCACAATAATGCTTCCCAAATAGTTTTTAAATCATAAATTCAATGGGAGTACAGTCTTGTGCATAAATGTTAGTGTTGGTGTCCGTTTTCCAACACAGTGAGTTACAGATGTTGCTGTTTGATTGTATCAACGTTTGGTGTTATAAAATGTTGTTCATTATAATAGCTGATCTTCCATTTAATATCCAATACGTGCTATAATTGGTTCCAGCTGAAATGAGTTTTCCCCATTACATGTTCTGAGGAAGGGTCACCAGACCCAAAATGTCAACTTTTTTTTTTCTTTCACAGATGCTGCCAGACCTGCTGAGTTTTTCCAGCAACTTTGTTTTAGTTCCTGATTTACAGCATCCGCAGTCCTTTCTGTTTTTATTGAGTTTCCCCAATTACTTGGTGTTAGGATATCTAGGGGCCTTCCAATAGTGCAGTGGTAGTGTCCCGACCCCTTAAGTGGGAGGCCCAGTTCAAGTTCCACCTGCTCCAGAGATGTATGATAACATCTCCGAACAGGTTGATTAGGAAAATAGGTGTTTGGATGTCAGGGGGTCCTCTTATGGCACAGAGAAGGTATCTCTACCCCTGAACCAGCAGGCCTGGATTCAAGTCCTCCTAGCTCCAGAGGTGTTTGATAACATCCTTGAGTTGGTTGATTAGAAAGATGGGTATTAGGATGTCTCGAACTGTGTATTTTAGAAAGAGTGAATACATTATATAGGTCAGTGAGATAGGAAGGCCTCACAGACTGTAATGAGTAACTGTGCTTTAATTGTGTTGGCTGAAAAAATAGTTGGTTAGGGCTTCTGTGAGAAACTCTATTCTGATGTGCTGTGGAATCATTTGCATCACTTGATTGGGCAGATAGCTCCTCCAACGCTGTAGTACTCTCTGTTCAGTGTTGAAATATCACCCTACCTTATATGCTCAAGTCTTGGGCATAAGGCTCAAACTGTCAATCTTCCAACTCAGATCAGGAATATTACCTCTGAATCAAGTCTGACACAGTATAAAGATAAGCATATACATTAAAGATGAAATTGAAGAATTTCCTCTGATTAGAGGTGTGGACTTTGAGGACCTCTAATAATTTGTCTCGTCTTTCACTGTAAGGAAATTGAAAACAAAACTGCTGAAACATTTAATGTATTTTGAGTATAAGTATTTCTGGTGTCAAGAACATTATTCTCGCACAACCAAGAGTTCAGGATGTTTTCTAATGAACATGTTCAGAGATATTATTACACCCCTTTAAATCAGGTGGGACTTGAACCTGGGCCTGCTGGCTCAGGGGTAGGGACACTACCACTCTGTCATAATACCTTTTTTCAACCAAGAATTCGAGTGGGACAAAACTAGTAAAGTTAATGAACATTGTTGCACGCTATTTTGACCAACTGGCTTATTTCTGCAGTGTAAGTTTTACATAAATAATAATGTAACATTCCCATTTAGCTATTTTAGCAGTATCGCTTTTAAGTTTTTCAGCCCTCTTTCCAGTTCAACATTAAGTACTTCGAGGGTTGGTGAGAGATAACAAATAAAATATGATGTTGCTTTATTGCAGGCGAGGGCTGGTTTGACCTCCGTTTTAAAGAATTGTTATTCTTAAACGTTATGTGGCAGACTTATCAGAATAATACGGGGGCTGAAAAGGTAAAATTGAGAGGACAAGTTAAGGAAAATGCCTTGGAAATGCAGCTTTTACACATTAAATAAAACAGAGGGTGTGATGTGGGTTTTACCCCCAGTCCCTCCCCTTCGTTTGCTAAAGACAAATTACAGAGACTAACTAGTCTTGTATTCCACGGATTATGAAAGATTGATATGTGATGTTTGAAATAATTAAAGTATAATTCACAAAGAGCAATTTATTTCATGTAATGGAACTCAGCTGAAAATAGCAAAACTCTGAGCTTGCTTCGGATAAGATGAGGGAACTGAAACGGGTAAAGTTAGAGAAACGCTTTGTTGCAGTACTGCTCCAGAGATCCAAGGCTTGTCTCTTCCGGCCGCGCCCACCGAGAATTGCACGCTGGGATCAGCGGACCGGACGACTTTGTGTGGCGCACCAATGGGTAACGGTGTTAGGCCGCCCGGAGTGTTCAGTGTGTTGCACCAGAAGGGCTGCGGAAGATGGCGCTTAACTCGGCCCCAGCTCCGGAGCCAGATCCGGACTGGAGTGCTGCGGTCCGCCCGCTCCTTGCCGCCTCCTATTCCACCTTCGAGCCGCGGGACATCTCTCAACTTTTCAGCTCCATCATTAATAGGTAAAGTAGGACTGGGAACATGCCGGCCACCGGACCGGGAAGGAAGGGTTCGGGTGCAGGATTCCTGGAAGGGAGGACCCAGTAATGGGCCCCGAAGTCTCGAAAGGTCTCTGTGTTTAAACTTGGGCTCCCTACTTTCGTTAGGATGACAGTGGTGGCAGTCAGGAGAAGAAAAACAAGCGTAGAATCTTCTGTCTGTTGGAACAGCCGGGAACTTTCTAGCATCCGAAGCTCCGAGGGGGAGGGGCTGGGATAAAATGTACCTCGCACCCCCTCCTGTTTTTTTAAAAATATATGAAAACTACATTTATGAAGCACCTTCATTTTAGAAAAGTGTCTGAGGTGTTTCGTGGATTTCAGTGTTGAACCAGTATCTCGTTGTAGGAGGTGAGCATAGAGTTACTTTTACCGTATGGAAAGAGACCCCTTGCTCCACTGTGTCCGCGCCGGTCATCAACCATCAATCGGTTCTAATCCCATTTTCCAGCACTTGGCTGGTAGCCTTGTATTCTCTTGCGTTTCAGGTACTCATCTATGTACGAATTAAATGTCTCGAGGGATCCTGACTCTACTACTCCTTTAGGCAAACAGTTCCAGATATCCACAGATGGGTGAAAATACTTTTCTTTGAATCTCCTCTGAACCTCCAGCTCCTTATCTTAAAAAAGGGAAATATTTCTCCCTACCTAACCCATGCCCCTCAGAACTTTGTAGACCTCAGTCGGATCCCTTCTCCACCATCTCAGCTCCAAGGAGAATTAGCTGAATTTCCCCAGCCAAGGTAGCATTCTGGCGAATCTCTTTTGAACCCTCTCTAATGCAATCATGGTGTGATGATCAGAGCTGCTGATGGTACTTCTGCCTAAGGATATGTACAACTAATAGCCACCTTACTGTTGTAGTCAATGACTTGACATATGAAGGCAAATACCCTTATCTTGCCTTAATCATCTTTATCTACCTGTCTTTCTGCCTTCAAGGATTTATAGATACACGTTCCAAGGTCCTTCTAATCCTCTGTACTTTCCAGGGTCCTACTATTTAATGTGCCCTCCCTTGCTAACCCTCTCAAATGTGTCAACTCATTTTTTTGAGGGTAAATTCCATATATCATCTTATATTCCAAGCTTTTCCTCATTGCTGTTTGCCACATGACCAATTTTAATGTCATCTGCAAATCTATTGACACCCTTCGATCATCACTGTTTCCTGCCACAAACCCAATTTCGATCCAATTTGACAAATTACTCTGGATCCCATGGGCTTTTAATTTAACCAGTCTGTCATGTGAGACATTGTCAAAAACAATATTGAGGTCCATCTAGATATTTTCTAATCAATCTATTCATACGTACTATGACACGTCTGGTGCAGGTATGACTTGAACCCAAACCTCCTCGCCCTACAATAGTACCACAAGAGTCCCACTGAAGTCAATGTAAACTACATCAATTGTCCTTCTCTACACACCTAGTCACTTATTCAGACTTCAATCAAGAACTTAAATTTCACTGACTGATGTGGTGAGATTTGAACCCATGACCCCAAAGGATTAATTTAGGTCTATGGATTAATAGCCCAGTGGCCTTAGCCACAAGGTATATGTTTCAAATCAAGTTCTCAATTTTTAACGGAATGGATATTCAAAGAGCATCTTGAAGAATGTCATATGTACTTAAGTACAGTGAAGGCAGATCACAACATACGAGGAGACACAGATGATAGGGTGATTAAACAGCTCAAGATATACAAAGTTACAGCTGAACACAGTACACAAAAGCAAGATCAACATTAGATTTATAATTTGAGAGGTCCATTCAACAGCCTAATAACAACAGAGAAGCTTTTTTTTTAACCTGTTGGTACAAAAGCTTAAACACATGTATCCTCTGCCTGATGGAAGAGGTTGGAAGAGAGTAAAATCAGAGTGGGAGGGGGCTTTGGCTGCCTTTCTGTTGCAACGAGAAGTATAGATGGAGTTGATGGATGGGACATTGGCTTGCGTGATGGTTTGGGCTGTGTTCACAACTGTCTGTAGTTTCTTATGGTCCTAGGCAGGGCAGTTGCCGTACCAAGCCATGATGTACCCAGATAGAATGCTTTCTGTGGTGCATCTGTAAAAATTAGTGAGGGTCCTTATGGACATGCTGAATTTCCATAGCCTCCTGAGGAAGAAGAGGTGTTGTTGTGCCATCTTGACTGTCACATCTACATGGGAGGACCAGGATAAATTGTTGGTTATCATCACTCCTAGGAACTTGACACTCTCCACTTCAGCTCCATTGATGTAGATAGGCGCATGCCCGCCTTTCTTTCTGAAAGATTGAGGAAAGGAATACTGGAGCTTGTGCTCCTCTGTTTGGGGGCAAGGGTGAGAGTATTTAAGATACTGGAGTCAGGAACTTCGGGCATGTATAGTGTGGGAACAGCTGTTTGCCAGTTATCCATTTAGTTAGGTTTGTATCTGTTCTTTTAAATCCCTTTTGGTTTTAAACACCTCTTGATAGGTCAGTGCCCTGAACTGAAAGGAGTTGAAGCCATGTTTGTGCAATCTCTTCTCTATAATTTTAGCGATGTCAGGATCTGTTTTTGTTTAGTGGTAATGCGCCTACCTCTGAGCCAGGATATCAGAGTTGAGATCCTAGCTGCCCCAGGCGTGTATCATAACATGTTTTATAATCAACCTGTTCGGACATCTATAAATGCATCATATGGGACTCCTTTTGGTGCAGTAGTTGTATCTTTGCTTATGAGTTAGCAGGTATGGGTTCAAGTCCCACCTGCTCCATAGGGATATCACAGCATGTTTAAACAGGTTGATTAGAACATATCTAAACCATAATGTCTGGGGGCTCTTGTAGTGGTCGTGTCCCTGCCCCAGAGCTAAGAGGCCTTTTCCAGAGGTGTGTTATGACGTCCCAGAGGTGTGTTATGACGTCTCTGAATTGATTACAGAATATCTAAACTGTGATGTCATGATATCCATTCTGGTAAATCTTTATTGTTTCCTTTCCCTGAGGTCTGTCTAAAATTGAATGCAGGTGGAATCTATATTAATGAAACCTAATTTCTTCCCATTTCAGGTAAAGGCTTATATTTCAATAGCCTGAATGATTTTCTGTTATACCCATTGCTAACTTTTGCTATTTTTTTTCCTCTTGGGTACCCAAGTACTTTTGCTTCCCCACAGTTTCTGATATTTCAACATGAAGAAAATAGCCTGATTTGTCTTGTATGGAAAGAAAATGATCTCTCTCGCCTACATTTAATTCCATTACCATTGGGTTTCCCCAATCGCTTTCTGTGCTTTGTGACTTCCTGTTTCCGTCAACACAGCTTCCTGTGCCTAGTGTCTAGTACTAACCCAGTGTCATCTGCAAACTTGGATTTCACGCTTTCTTTGCTTTGTCGCACTTGTTGATGTGAAAATCTGAGGTCAGTGTCCAACTTCTCATCGCAAAGTTGTCTCTGATTTCCTAAAACTCATTTTGACCAGTAGTGTTGAAGTCCCATTTTAGATATTTTCTAATCAATTTGTTCAGTGGTATTATGATATGCCTCCTGTCTCAGAGGTAGAGACACTGCCACTGTACCATAAGAGCCATCACTCCTATTTAATATCACGTACCCCATTACATACAACTAAAATAGGTATTTTTTGAATTTCCCTATTTTAGTTGATTATCCCACGTTAGGGTTTTCTTCTATTTGGTGTAGCTCTCCTACAAAATGTCAATGACCAGTTATAGTTTTTAAAACATTATGTTTCTGATGTTAAATTGTGAACAGTAAGCATCCCTGCACACTTGGCCACTTAATGGTATAAACTATTGAAAACAATAGCTCATGGTCTTATTCTTCTGATACAGCTGAATAAAGCAGAAGATGCTGTCAGCTTCCAACATAGTTAAAACATGTGTTCAAAGAATGACTGCTGTTCTAAAATAAAGTGGATAATTAAACTCTTCTTTGGCTTAAAGCTTTTGGAGTACCTGTATGTTTTTTTTTATTTGCAGAATATATCAAATTACAGCTGTGGTCCACCCGCTAAATGATGGCAGCCTGAACACATGATGTGCTGGTGACAGCTATGGTTACACAATCCTAACTGAAAAAAACTAATAGTCGTGTGAATGCATAAGGAATATAAATAGACTGAAGCTAGATGACTATGTATATAGTTCCTGTGTCTGTTCGTACGCAATGCAGTAGCACTCTGGAATCCACCTCAGTGACTTGCAGTTTAATCTGGGCGTATTGAAAAGAATACAAACCTCAGATGGTGAAGCTTCTTTATCCAGCTACTATAATGAGTTAATGATAGTGAGCTTATCTGTTTTGTTCTGTCTATTTTGGTGAATGCTGTGATGAGGGAAGTTGTGTCACTTGAATTGTAATTGCTGTTCACAAGATTTGTTGTTGTGTACACTGTCAAATAGAAGTTTCTGCTGCTTTTCTTGGGCAAAATTTTATAGCTGGTTGAAGCTAAAACCTTGCCAGGTAAAATGGTACAGTGAGACATGATGTAAGAAGGCTAATTATCCTCTGGTTTGCAGTTTGAGCAGGAAACAGTAACTACAAGTGGAACAAACTGTACATTCTGTAAATAGTCAATGTAAAATGCATGTTAAAGAAGAATGCATCAGTGATGCTTGTGTCAATATGGCACCTACTTTGTTTAAACTCTTGTTCATATTAAATTGGTTCAATTGCCTTGGTTAAGGCCTTTTACTGCCTTCTCGGGTGGAAGTAAACATCCAATGGCTCTTCTTGAAAAAGTATAGGATCATTCTCCTCTGTCCTGGATGGTTTTTTTTTTAAACAACAGCATGAAAATAGCGCTTTGTGGTCACATTTTTCACATTGCTTATGGGAGATCTGTGTGAGATTGATTACCAGGTTTCTTCATTACAGCAATACCTGCTTTGTGCTAGAAAGAGTTTTGGAAAATGCTGAGAACTGCTATTCAGGCACCAGTTATTTCAGATCTGTACATCCACTGTACCGAGTAAGGTACAGGCATTTCCTTGATTTTTATTTAATTCGTCCTTGAAATATGATTATTGCTGGCAAGATCAACATTTGTAGCCCATCACCTGCTTTGGAGCGTCACCTACCAGTAATAAACAGTGCAGTTTGAATCCTTTGACCAAGGACATTGCCTTTTATTTTAGCTGCCGTTGATTGTGTTTTCTGTGACACATCTCAAGAGTGCAACCCACTGCAACAGTCTTTGTAATCTTTGATCAGCTTTGGATGCAATTCTCTGATCTGAGGCAGCCAAACATCAAAAATTCTGGACTGCAATTTTTGCTACAGTACCTCAAAGAGAAGTCCCACATCGAAATTCAGATAGGCAAGATCAATGTTGTCCAATTGAAATTGCTCACTGGTCATTACAGGAATGCTGATTTAGTCAATGGAATCTGGTTTAAATTTTAAAGATTTTAGGTTTTTATTTGCTAAAGAGATCAAGATGTGGCGTAAAAGTAGGTTAGTGGAGTTGAGGTACATTTCAGTCATGATCTAGTTTTGGGGAACAGGCTTGAGGATTTGATTGGCAGCCGCCTTTCTTATCAGACAAACAATGTAGGAACTGAACTGGGCCATTTGGCTCGTTGAATCTGCTGTGCCATTCAGTGAGATCATGGCTGATGTGATGATTTACAACTTCACTTTCCTGCCTTTTCTCCATAACCTTAGATTTTAAATTAGTAAGGGAATCAATCTCCGAATTGAATGTGTGTAATGACCCATCTGATACAATCCTCAGAAGAAATTCCTACTTGCCTCTGCCTTAACTGGACAAACCCTTGTTCTGAGATTATGCTGCCTGGTTCTAGACACTACTGCAAGGGGAAATAACTTCTCTGAATGTAGCTTGTGAAGCTCCTAAGGATCTTGTTTCTTTAAGTAAGGCTGTCTGTCAATATTCTATATTTCAATGAGCACAAGGCTAACCTACTCAATCTCTCCTCGTAAGACAATCTTCCCATGCCTGGAATCTACCTAGTGAAGTTTCTTCGGCCTGTTTCCAAAGCTAGTAGACCCTTCCTTCAGTAAAGAGACCAGACTGTTTGCAGTATTCCAACTGTGATCTAACTGTTGTACAGTTTTAGCTCGACTTCCCTATTTTTATACCCCATTCCCTTTGCGTTAGCAATATGCACTTGTTTTAGGAGATGCTTTACCAACATTACACGTATAGGTAAATATACTTTGCAGTTTAATGTTTTAATGTGCATACCACAATTCAGTAACCACTCAATGGTTAAACTTATTAAAAATTTACAATAAATTCACAAATTAAGGTTCTCCTGGAAATACTGATATATGCCCAATGACTATTTCTTCTACAAGTTAGAAATGCATTGAACTGTGGCTGGATGTCCAACTGTCCACACATAGCTCTTAACATAGATATTCGTCAGCTTTCAAAACAGTTTGTTGAAAAAGATACTTCAGGATCCATTGAAACAGGCCTGACCATTGCCCAAACTTTAATAAAGATTTGTATCCCTTAAAAAGAGCCTACTTGTGTGACATTGTATTTGTTGAAGCTATGTGAGTGTGAATATTAACTGAATTGCAAAAACTAATAGTGATCACTGAAACTTTTCTTGATTGCTGATGAAAACAATCACATCAAATTGTTTATGTACATATTCCCTGTCAAAAACCTGAACTATTATAATGTTTTAGTTTCAGCATAGATTGTAAGTAAGGTAACTTGCTTGAATAGCTCTGCCTTGTTTTTCATTTTGGCATGATTACTGCACACATGTCATAATCTGCAATGTAACTGCACATGTCCAGCGAGTTTTTTTTAAACACTCCCAGCCCCTCCGCACCCTCCCTCACCTCCCACTTGATCGCCACCCCTCACTTGTACCTGAGTGTTTTCCCCTCCCTTTTCCTTGCCATCTTCCACTTCAGAGGGCAGGCTTGAGTGCAAATTCGAGAAAAGTGTAGCAAGCGGGAAGCAGCAAGGGGTTGAGGTAGGGTAATTCGAGATGAACAATAAATGCTAGTCAGAATCACCCATATTCCTTGAGGGAAGAAAAAATAATTTACCTTGATAGTGTTATGCACTTCCCGAGCCCAAATCAAAAAGCCTTTTAGCTGTTTGATGGCATTATAAACCTTAAACTGCATTATAACTCTCTTCTAAGTTTGTGATGGATTATATGATTATTTTGAAATGTTGAGTATTGAATTGATACATTGCAGTTATCTCTGGGGTTGGTTAGTTTATACTCGTGTTGATTGGAAGCTTATAACTTGATTGTTTTGTGTTTCAGTGAGAAGCAGATTCTGCATCATGACAAACAATATGAACCCTTCTACTCTTCATTTGTGGCTCTCTCTGCACATTACATCTCAACAGTCTGTGCACAGAGTAAGTGTTTCTAATTGACTCTTCTTTCATTAATGCTGTTTAAAGTTGATAAAGAAACTAACGTTTGCCTGTATGAGAAATCTTGAATCACTTTATTTTGAGCTGCTTTTGTGTTTAAAATCTCTTGAATCAAGGTGGAATTCGGGGTGGTTCTGTGATTGCAGCATAAGGAAGTGGTGTGATAAGAAAATAACAAAAATGTGGGCATTTGGGAAGTCTGGGTTTAGCACAGTAATATTTTTGCAGCACTTAATTGAACTACTCAAAATACAAATGTTTTTGGATATATTGTTTCACACAGATTATAACAGAATCATGAAATGATAGAGCAGAGAAAGAGGCTCAGCATTTGCTGAAGTAAGATATCCGTGTTATCTTGCTGCAGAAAGCTGGATTTACTTTTTGAATGAGATGAAACTAGGCAATGTTGCCCACCCAAGTAATCCCTTGCAGACAAAATTACCAGAACCAGCTCAAAATGAACAATATTTCAAACCCAATTTTAGCGTCAAGTTACTGGACTCTCCACGTGCGAACCAGGCTCAATCTTCCTGTGTTCTTATCTGCCTTGACTTGGGGTGGCACAGTGGCTCATTGGTTAACACTGCTGCCTCATAGTGCCAGAGACCCGGGTTTAATTCCACCCTCGGGTGACTGTCAGTGTAAAGTTTGCACATTTTACCTGTGTGTCTATGGGTGCTCCAGTTTCCTCCCACAGTCCAAAGATGTGCAGGTTAGGTGGATTAGCCCTGGTAAATTGCCCTGTCATGTCCAGGGATGTGCAGGCTAGGTTGAATAGCCATGGGAAATGTAGGGTCACAGGAATATGGTAGTGGGGGAGGTGGGTGTCGGTGGGATGCCCTTCAGAGGGTCTATGTGGATTCGATGGGCCGAATGGCCTGATTCCATGCTGTAGGGATTCTAATGAGGCTATACCTATGTAAGCTCTTTGAAAGAACCGACCAATTAGTCCCATTCAAGTATTGAGAGGATTGCTGCAGGTTAATAGAGAATAGCGACAGATTTTTCAGCTTTTAATTCCTAAAATACTTAATGTTTTGAAAATGCCAAGTCCCCAGTGCTAATCTTAATTCCAATATTTATAGTTCCTAGGAATCAGCTGCTGTCTGTTGCAGCTGCGTGTAAAATCCTGATTGAATTCTCATTGATGCGCCTTGAGAATCCAGATGAAGCATGTGCTGTTTCACAGGTACTGATTTAAAACCTCTGGTTGTCATGCTGTCTCTGTGTCATGTTTTTGTATTCCCCCACCCCGTGTCCCATCTCTCCTCCACCACCACCATTCGTGCTATGATATTTAGCATTGTTACTGGTGTGTCTTAAAAAGAATCTGGGGAAGAATGGAATGGGTGTTACTTATCCACATATTTTATTATTTGACAGTTTCTCCAGAACTTTCTCAACTTTCACAATTGCAAAACCCTATTTCTTCCCAAATATAACACTTGACTTTATTAATAATTCAGGATGGTCAGTGCAGTGGACAACTAGCTACTTAATGGCACCGCTGACTGAACTTCAAAATAATTACCGGTCTCTTAAAACAAATCATCTTATTACTTCCCTTACTTGAGGAGGGATGTAGTTGTATTGGAGGCAGTTCAGAGAAGGTTCACTAGATTGATTCTAGAAATGAGGCGTTTGTCTCATGATGAGAGATTGAGCAGTTTAGATCGATGTACTATGGAATTTTGAAGAATGAGAGAAGATCCAGTCGAGATATACAAGGTGCTGAAGGGGATTGGCAAAGTGGACATTTAAAGAATGTTTCCTCATGTAAGTCAATCTAGAATGACAGGTGAAAAGTTTTACGCTAAGTGGTAGCAGATTTAAAACAGATGAGAAATTACTTCTCGGTGTTGTGAATCTATAGAATTCAATATCCCGAGTGCAGTGGACGCTGAACATTGAGTAAATTTGAGGAGCTGGACAGATTTTTAGTTCATAATGCGTTGAATTACAAAGAGTGGGCAAGGAGGTGAAGTTGAAGCTGAGATGAAGTAAGCCATGATCATATCAAATGGCAGAGCCGGCTTGGGGGTGCTGAAATACCTACACCTGCTCCTTGTCCTCAGATTATGAGAGAGGAAGGAAATTTCAAAATTTCCTTTCTCTTTTGCAAACCTCCCAGTTCTTACGCAAATTATTGCTAGCTGTTATTAATTAAACTAGGTTTTCCAAATTCACGATAACATGGACTCAACAAAATTATCTATTGTTAATCTCAATAGCTGATGTTGTTTGTTTTTCTCTTCCACTCTTCTTGAGTGGAGATATTATATTGGCAACTCTGTCATTCTCCTCAAAAATTCAATTTCCAAGGATATTTGAAATTTTTTCCCCCATTCAGATTCTAAAACTTTTGTCACCCAAGTTTTTATTATGTAAATTCAAACGCATTCAGATTTCTAAGTGCATCCGATCATTATGTCTCATTTACATATTGCCCCATTCTTGCCTTTTTTTTATTATTCATTCACAGGATGTAGCCGTCACTGGCTAGGCCAGCCTTTATTGCCCAGAGGGCGGTTAAGAGACAACCACATTGCTCTGGATCTGGAGTCCCATGTAGACTAGACCAGACCAGGTTAGAATGGCAGATATTCCCTGAAGGACATTAGTGAACCAGATGGGTTTTTCCTGACTCTCAACATTGGTTTCATGGTCATCACTGCATGATCAATTATAGATTTTTTTTTCAATTGAATCCAAAACCCACCATCTGCCATAGCGAGACTCGAATCTGGGTCCCCAGATCATTATTCATATCTCTAGATTAACAGCCTAGTGATAATACCACTAGGCCAATGCCTCCCTGTTTGAACATCTATCCATCAGTGTATAATCCAGAGTCTTTGATCTTTCCTGTGAATCCATCCATGGCCTTACTGTCCTTGCTTCTGCAGTACCTCCAGTCCTGTTTTCTTCCATGGACTCTCCATTCAATCTACCTTTGTTTACTGGATTCCCTCTGCTGTAGAGTTAGTGTTTTGTAGATTGATTGCTTTTTGTTACTATGTCTACCAGACTGTTGTTCTGTATTTTAAAGAATGGAAGTTATGCATCTGTTGAAATGAGCCTTGGTCATGTCCTGTTTGAAGTATTGTGTACAGTTTTCGGCAGCATTCCTCAGGAAAGAGGTATTCACCTTTTGAGGTATGCAGCATATATTGATCAGAATCATCCTGAGGTTCAAGAGGGTTTAATTATGGAGACTAGTTGCAAAAATGTAGCCTGGATACCCCTAGAGTTGAGCTTTAGCAATAAACTTGATCAGATGTTTAAAATATTAATTTGATAGATTATGTTAAACTATTTTAAGGAGATTAAAAAAGGGGCATAATGTTAGTATTAAAGCTCATCTAATTAAGAATGAAATCAGTGAGCTCCTTTCTGCAACATGCAGTCAGACAAATTTAGACAATAATACAAATGGTTCTGATGAACGTTCAATGACCTGAAATGTTAACTCTGTTTTTCTTCACAGATACTGTCTGGCCTACTAAGTTTGTTTTATCCATTGATTTTTGTTTTTAGTACAAATCTAGAACTCTATTTTCTCACATCAAACTTATCCTGCTACCCCAAAAAACTCTGGATGCCCAAGATCAGTTGTAGGTGTCAAGACTGAGAATAGTTTTTTTTTAAGTTAAGCTATTAAGGCAGTAGAATGAAAATCAGAAAATTAAATCAAGATTTGGATGAGTTGAGATCGACTTGAGTAGCAGAATGTGGGGATCTTGTATGACCAGTTCGTGTTCCTAATAGTCATGCGTTTAACCATCTCTCAGAAACTCCTTCTTTTGTTGCATCTCTCCGAACCTTCAGAAGCCTCTTTTAAGGAGGTGGCTTTTGCTTTTAACTTTTCCTCTGTTCAGATCTGGACTGAAATGTTTTGCTGTGTTCAGGATATGTATTTAGAATTTAAAGACGAATTATACACCAACCTCAGTAAATTCTGTTATAGCTTTATGATGGCTAGTTGAGTAAACAAGTGAATGACTGACTGAAAAATAGAAATAAGGGAGTCTTAATAGTTTTGATTTGCTGATCAGAAGTGGAACAATGCATTACATCATGGGAACCCTGGATAGCAATGACCTCAGCTAGAAGGAGCATGCATGCAGAAATAGTTCAAGAACGAGATTGGGTTTAGTGATGATGCCAATCGTTGAAGAGCTTTCTCGGGTATGAAAGTGGTACCTAGGAGATGGCAAGTGCCTGAACGTTCTCCTCAAAATTCAGTAGGTATAGGAAATTAAACGGTAAGGAAGAAGAAAAGATAACAAAATGACAAAAAAAACAGGAACCTTGAGAAGCTTTGTCTGAATAGAAAGCTTTTTCCTAAGTTTATGTTAAATTATTTGTACTCTAAATATATAACATTTTCCTTTTTTTTTAATCCTATTATGTTATCCTCACTACTTCCTCCTCAGAAACACTTGATCCTTTTGATCAAGGGCCTTTGTACTGGTTGCAGCCGATTGGACAGGACTGAGATCATTACATTCACAGCAATGATGAAGTCAGCCAAACTTCCAATGACCATAAAGACTCTCTCAGATGGTAAGGCTTTGACCCTGATAATCAAAGATTATTCTATGGGTATGGTTAATCTTTGTGCAGTCGAATATCGACTGTTCTGCTGAATAAATTTTCTTATCAGTGAATCTCTTTACACAGTGGAGGATCAGAAAGACTCTGTCTCTCCAGTGACACCTGAACTCAGACAGAAAGAAGTGCAAATGAATTTTTTAAGCCAGTTAACTTCAGTATTTGACCCAGATGTGTCAGCCTCATCTGCCCCTTCTCCAGTGGTTCAGGTATGGATTTGTGAAATAAATTCTGCATCTTTTCACGTTGACAAGTAATATTCCCTTTGTGGCACGTACATACATGACCATGTGGTAGTTTTAAAAGGATTGTGCAGTTCCAGAAACTTGCCATGCATGACAAACAGAATTCAGAAGAAATGTTACTGTGTTTTTGTTTTACAGCCATTAACAGGTGTCCTGTGGTAGAATACCTGAGATTTCAGATACTGTGGAACACGGTTAAAGATGTGATGGTGATGGGGCATAGTTAAAAGATACCATACTCCATTGCTGGCAGAAAAAAAAGTCATCCTTTTAGAATAAGTTTATGCCAATAAACTCTAAACAAATTTTGATTCAATGTGATGATGGTTTTGTTAAATGTTACTTCTGAAACAAAGCTTGAGCCTTTAAACTTTCAAAACTTATAAAGATGGTATGTATGTATTTAAGGGTAGGAATTTTAGGAAACAAAACTGTTTTCTAGTTTTCACTCCTAGTCAGCATTAAGTACTGTAGATGATGTTCAGTAGGATAAGCACCCTCTCTCCCGGCATAGGAGTAGGAAGCCATTGATCCTGTCAGAAATTTAATTGGATGATCCAACTGACCTTTTCAAATTCAAAGATCATGTATTCTGTACCGCAGGAGCAACTGTCACTGTGCCAATGCAATAATAGTCACCTGCACTATTTGCTTGAATTTGTACCAGTTCAATGGAAGTTAGTGCTCAATTATTAGCTGTATTGTGGCATGGACTTGTACCTACTGGGAACTGAATCAAAGCTGCCTCAAACCTTGTCTATAAATGCCTCCTTAACTGTTAAGCTTGTTTTGAAGCCAGGTAGAAGATGACAATGCAGTATTTTGTGCATTGCAACTTAGTCCCAAATTTATGTTGTACGTTTAGGGATTTTTCACCTGAGTATAACTAATTCTATAAATGTTTAGAGGGTGGTTGATGGCAAGTGCAGCAAAGAGGTATAATAGGGAGTTAGAATGACTGCTCCTGTAGGGGAAGGGATTAGGAATGATCTAGACTGAGATAGTTACCTAATCTTTCCATGCTCTAATTTCTGTATAATTTCTTTATATCTGTCAGGTGGTTGGTGAAAGTGATGAACAAACTGGAACTGATCAAGCAACTGTTGCCAAAATGAAAAGTGCTTTTGTTGCACAGAACGTGTCCAGTTTACAAGCGCTGGGTGAGATTCGAATCAAATCCCCACTAGTCATTACAACAACAACTAGTCTCCCACTAGTCCCCCCACAATCCCCACTAGTCATTCATGTGATTAGTCTTTATTGTGAATATAAGAATTGTTCTCAATGAATTGAGGAATATTAGTGAAAAAAAATCCTTTTCATAAAGCTACTGTATCTACAAAGCACCCAGTCTCTTCACCACCAATGCTCAGTGGCATCAGTGTGTACTATCTACAAGGTGCAGTGCAGAAATTTGCCAAAAATCCTTTGACAGCATCTTCTAAACCCGTGACCAGTTCTATCTAGAAGGACAAGGGCATCAGATATGTGGGACCATCACTACCTGCAAGTTCTCCTCCAAGTCGTTCACCATCCTAACTTGGAAATGTATTGCCATTCCGTCAGTGTTACTGGGTCAAAATGTTAGAGATTTCCTGTCGCACATGGACTACAGGAGTTCAAGAATGTAGCTTGCCACCACCTTCTCAAGGGCAACTAGGGATGAGCAATAAATGCTGGCTAGCGGCAGTGCCCATGTCCCATGAATGAATAGAGAAAGGAAAAGTGAAGCAAATATTATTAGTTTTCTATTGTTATTGAATTACTTAGGTTTTGTTAAATTCAATCTTCAGAAACATTCAGAACACGTTCACAAAATTTGTTGAGCAACCATTGTGCAGGATATAGTGCATGCTCTTCTATTTCACCCTCTCATCCACCTTCCTTCTTTCCTTCCTTAAGTGCTGAGGCTAACTCTGAGATCAGCAAACTCAACACAGGACAAGAATAACACCCGTGACTGGATCATGTCCCGTTAGGCAGAATTTTTGACTCATGAGGGCTGGGTCCCAATGTCAAATATAAACTGACTTAATTAGGGAATACAGCAGTTGACCATTTTGACCATTCTTCTGGCATTATGACAGTAGTGCAAAATATGGCTGTCTGTGGACATTGAGCCTGTTGTGATTGGGTAACTCCTGCTCAGTTGTTGAGCCTGATGCAAGATAGAAACACTTGAACATGTAAGAAAGAGTAAGGAATATCTGGATTTTGGTTAAGAACGCAGTCGTACCTCTTAGAGAGCCAGGTACAGGAAGAGTGTGTAATTGGCAGCAGGGTCAAGGAAACCTAGCAGGATTGCACTAAAAAGTAGTCAGTGCAGAATTTTATAAGTATAATCAACCTTGTTGGAGTCTTTCAAAAAGTAACGAGTACCTGCTATTGGCAATGCAAACATAAGAGGGTCAGAGCATATAGTCAGGGGCAGCTAGTGGAGTAGATTCGAGAATGGCGACAAACCTGAAGTACAAATGAGGTGTTTGAGGAAATTTCTGAGAAATGCAAAAAGTTGAAAGATGTCCCACAGAGACCACTTTTGCTTGTCATGTACATGAATTATTTGGATTTGAGAATTGAACATTTTGATGAAACTTGCAGATGACATTATTTAATGTGGTATGCAACTAATGTGGAGGACTGTATCCAAAAGTTGGAAGACAAAATCCAGGCTTGCAGGCTTGCACAGCCCAGACCAGACAGCAGGATTTTTTTTCACCTTAGAGAATTTTGCTAGTTGAGATTTTTGAAACAGAGCTTCATACTCAGTTTTTGATGCAAAAGAATAATACTGCAGATTATAGGGTTATAATCTTGCTTCTCTCTACCCTTTTTCTGAATATGGGTTGAACATTCAACACCTTGTGGTTCTTTGAGTACATTGATTTGTTTTCCAAATGGTTAGTACTTTTCCTCTCAATATGAATATGTACGGATTACTTCTATTGAATCTAAGTTTCGGTCCTCTGAGTCCTCTCGATCTACTTCCATTTGCATGATTAGACTGATGTATTTACTCAATGGTAACATGGAACTTTGACTTCGTTCACTTCTTCTGTTGTAGGAGGCTCTGAGAAGTTGCTACGCGTCTGTTTAAACCTCCCCTACTTTCTGCGCTACATCAACCGGTTCCAGGATGCTGTCTCTGCCAATTCCTTTTTCATAATGCCTGCGACAGTTGCAGATGCAACTGCTGTGCGAAATGGGTGAGTTGCAAACGCTCGTTGAGGACCAATGGACATGATGTTTGATCAGATCTTTGACTGAAAAGACCATCGTGTATTGATAGACTGATGCTAGTTAACAGCAACCAGTTTCCTTTTCTCGTCCATGTCACTTGTTAAAGTAAAGACACCTTTTGAGTGGGGTGTAATATATATGGGGAGCTCTTACTAAAGTTATCTAAGGCCGTAGTTAGGCCACCGCTGGAGTACAGTGAACAGTTTGGTCCCCTTATCTAAAGATAGATCCACACAAGATTGGCTAAGTGGCTCCTGGGTATGGAGAGATTTTCTTACAAGGAATTGTTGAGTAGGTTGGACCTGTATTCATTGAAGCTTAGGTGAATGAGAGAGGTTTGATGGGGTAGATGCTGAGAGATTGTTACCCCTTGTGGGAGAGCCTAGAACCTCGGGCATAATTTCAGTAAGGGGTTACCCATTTAAGATAGATGTCGAGAAATTTCTTTTGAGGGTACTTAATCTGGAACATTTACTGCAGAGTGCTGTTGAGGCTGCGTTGTTCAGCATATTCAAGGCTAAGGTGGATATATTTTTAATCAGCAAGGAAATCGAGGTTTGTGGAGATAGGGCATGAAAGTGGAGTTGAGGAGTATTGGGTCAGCCATGATCTCAATGAGTTTGAACCATATTCAATGGGCTGAGTGGTTTACTTCTGTTCCTGCGCGTTATGGTTTAACAGTTAACTCCAGTGGAAATTAATCTGACTGTGACGAATCTAGTGACCACTCCACTTAAACTCTGTTGTGGGGACATTTTTGATTTCCACAGTGCTTGGTTTTCTAAGATGCAATCATTGTTTCTTCAGATTCCATTCCCTG